GCTGCTACGGACATACACACACATACACACACACACATACACACACACACATACATACAAACAAACAAACACACACACAGACAACCCCGTGACAATATGCGTTTTGTGCTACTGTTACACAGCAAAAAACGCATAAAGAAAGAGTACCTAATGATTAGTCTGGAAGCCAGGTAACCGCGCTGTGCACGCATCAGTGCAATGAGCATGCGAAAAACTTTCTCGGATCGTGCTAAATCAACTGTTCGTCCACTTTCGACATACAGTAGCATATGGGCGTGCAGCTCATGGCAGAGTGGTTGCACGCCATCACCAGTTGCTTCTAAACGCGGCAATTCCGATGTATCGAATAACCTGAATTACTGAGCATTTACAATAAAAAAAAAAGACTGGTATACTCTTCATTTAGTCGCAAAGCAAGCAAAAACAATTTTAACAGTAAATGAAATGAAACAACAGCAAATCGACTATGGGCAACAAAAGCAAGTGAAAAGAAGAAAAGAGGCCGTACTTGAGTTCCTGAGCAGACATCGAGAAAATGCTTTCCTGTAGAGAATCCTGTCTTCTGTGACCCCTAGCACGTTTCACATTTTCCGAAATCGACAAGCTGCCATTTTCCAAGGATTTAGAGGAAGAAACAGACTGGGCGGGTGGTCGTTCCACTGCGTTCTCTTGTGATGCACTCGCTGACGAACTAGAACAAATTCACATAAAGATGCAAACGGATAACGGCATAAACCCGCGAAAAGTCCACAAATCATGGAATTACATGATATAAGCAGCTATTAACATAAATTTAATCAGTAGTGATTTACTGATGCCACAGGATAAGACTTAATAAAGGTTGGGGCAAGGTCTAAACCATTTAGTTTTTAGCTGAAAACAAATTCGAAAGAAACTCATCAATGTCTGTGGCCCGATTCGACGGGATGAACATTATTTTTATGCGTTTTTTGCAGCAGTGCAATGCGAAAAACGCATATTGACGAGAGGTTGTCTGTGT